TATTACTTATTTTTTAATTAACAAAATTTTTGTATACTTTTCAATTTTCTTATGGTTGCGTTACATTGTAATTGATACACAAAAGTATGCTTCCGAACCAATTTCAACGCGATTTTTAACCCGCTTACAATGTCTCAAATGTAATGATATTAGGCTAAACTTAAAGAAAAGTTGTAATACTAGACCTCTAAACTTAAAGAAAAGTTATAACGATATTAAGCTTATAAATTACGAAAAAATCTGCTATTTACAACCTGGAAATAACACTAGAACATTCATATGAAGCCATTTTGCCTTAAACTTGATGAACAAAAATCATTCTTCCTAACCATTTTCAGAGCGTTTTTTACCCCGCTTAGAATGTCTTCAATGTGGCGATATTAGGCTCATCTTAAAGAAAAGTTGCAATACTAGGCTTCTATGCTTATAAATTATGAATAATATGCTATTTACAACCCTGAAATAAGACTCGAACATGCCTATGAAGTCATTTTGCCTTACACTTGATGAAAAAAATCATGCTTTCGATCCATTTTCAGGACGATTTTTACACCACTTAGAATGTCTCGAATGTGTCGATATTAGGCTCAAATTAAAGACAAGTTGCAATACTTTACATCTACGCTTATAAATTACAAAAATTTTACAGTGTACACCTCGAAAATAAGACTCGAACATGCCTATAGAAGTTGAGGTGTGGGCTGGGAATCAACAGTCCTCGCGCCCTACAGAGTGCGAGGTGCATGAACTATATCTTGAGAAATTTGCAATTTTTCGTTTACCAGATCGTGAGTCTCGCGGCTTGCAGGACGCGAGGTATTATATCATATTATTTAATGGGCTTACCTGGAAAATCTAGCCACATGATACTGAATACACACCTTGGGAGCGCGAGACAATCCTACGTGGTCAGTTTGTGGGGTATTTTTATAAATAATGGCTTGAGAAGGGGGGCATTTTTCCAAATAATTATTTAAGGAAGGTTTTAATATAAAAATGCCTTCACTTCCTCTCAGCCTTATGTTCATCTTTTGGGCCTTTGCAAAATATTTTGGGCTTTGCTTTATTTGGCATTAAAAAAACTTACCCAAAAAATGACATTTTAGGGGGAAATTGCATTCATTAGTCATTAAATTTTAATTATATTCTTGTTTTGGTCACTAAACAATAAAAGCTTACAATTATAATACTATTTCTCTAATTATTTTTCTAATCACGCAGTAGTTGGATCTTAAAAGATGGATGTTGTGGTATTTGTTACTGATGTACTAAAAGATAAAATACCAAGAAATTAGGTACGGATATAAGATTTTATATTAGGGATGTAAACATTTAAAAAGTTATATTAAAAATTTAAGGGTATAAATTTATAAAAATTTAGGGAGTATCAAATTAGATCATTAATAGAGAATATGAAGAAAATACATATATAAGAATTTGAAATTTTCACAGATGCACTGTCCCTCAACACTCACCTCGATCCATCTTTGATTGAGTTTAATTTATTTCTCACTTGTTTTAAAACAGAGGTTATAGTTGTGTTCTTAGTATGTTTTGATTATAAATTTTCTTCTTCTTTGAATTGTAGGTTTAGTGGCTTAAGTCAGAGTTGTATTGGAGAAGAGTATAACATTGATTTTGGCGTGATTTCCTACTATATTAGATCAAGAAGTGTGTTGGTGAGTGGTTGTGCATTCTTCTTAGGATGTGCATCATTAACGTTAATTGAGGGTCTAGTTTCAGACTAATACTCTATACTAAGACCCTAGAGTAAGTGATTATTTCTTTTAATTTCAGTATGCATAGGTGATATGTTGAATGCATATATGTAATTACAAGCATGATATGATATGTGATTCATGCTGAAGTTTCTGATTTGATGCATAAATTTTGACAGGTTAATTATGAAAACTATGTGACATGTTTAGTGATTCTAGGATGAGTGAGATGTATCTTGCTATCCAATTGTTGTTGACTATGACCATCAATGTAATTGTGTTTCAAAACTATGCTTTTGAAAGTTATATATTATGCATCAAATAATAACTTACGATAAATTTGGATCAATTGACAATTTGTTTTTTACAAAACTTTTAAATATAAAGTAAATATCAACATCAAGGAGTTTGTAGAGTGTTTGTTTGTCATAATTTTCATCGTAACACACTAGCATGCTACATCGTTTATTTTACTCAAGTATAAATTGGATGATGGTTTAATTGTTGCAAATGCCTTGTAAGATTTTTCTTTAATTTGCTATATTTGTAATTTTTCTTTGGAGAAAGTGTAAACAAAGTTTTGGAGTATAAACCTTATTAATTGTTGTAAGGTTGCACATTTTTCTTAAATGTTACAAATCTAGTGGTTTAAGGAAATTCTTAGTGTGGATGCTAAGGTAATGAACGTAAGTATGGTTTAGAAGTCAAATAATTCTAACATCGTTGTGTAAATTTATATATTTCAATTGCTTCTACTCTAAAATTAAAAAAAAAATTAATTCACTCACTCTTAACATATTTCGATTTATCAAAGAGCTAATAAAATTAAAAATATATTGACTAAAGTGAAATTTTACAAAAATGACTATAAAAACATGAAATTGTGAGTGCGCCCAAAATTCGGTTGATGTTGATTTATGAAAAATTATTTTTAGTACTCTATTTTTACTTTTTTTACAATTTGGTACCGAAACAGAAAAAAGTATGGAGCATGGCTACCAATATCTTTGTCGAACTCGTTCTCATTTCGACGACGTTGCCAATCATTATAAATATATATATATATATATATATATATATATATATATATTTCCCTAATTAATTTGATATCATCCCCCAATTTTTTTTTTCAACATTCACTTTCTCCTAATTTTAGGAATGAAACGTTTTCGATTAATGAAATTGATTGAATATTAATTCGATCATATATTTCTCAATAATCAATATTCAACAATCCTGAATGAGAGTTTTCTATTGAAATTCCATAAAATTCCACACGAAACCGAAATTTCAACAATCCCAGACAAGCAAAAAGAACAAGAAAAACCTCACCCAATCATACTAAAAAAGAAACGAAAATTAGATGGCAAGATTAGAGACGTCGTTGGAAGTGGGCATATTAGTGACGGCCCTAGAGATAACAGATGACGAAACAGAATTGAAGCTGGAAAACATGAGAGGGCGATAATGGGCCTCGGAATCTTCGGCATCGTCGGAAGTCGTTAGATCTATGCAAGCGAATCGTTCGAGCGATTCGAAGAAAGCTTGGGCGACGCTGCTTCCCAGCCACGACAAAAAGCCGACTTGATTCATATCCATTCTTTTTTGAAGAAACTATTTCAGTGATTTGGTGATTGTTTTTACAGCGAAAATTTCAAAGAATGGGGTTTTTGAAATTCAAAGCCATAACCATAGGATTTGAGGAAGAAGCGATGGACGGTACAATATGGAAAACTAAACGATTTTGCCTTCAAATATTATTACCGTTTTGTGTTCCTTTGCTATTTTAGTCAGTAAATGGGTTATGTTTCAATAACTCCACTTTTAGCGCATATATATTTATTGGCATAATATCAAAAATAGTCCCCAACTTTTATCAAAAAATCATTTTAGCCCATATATATATTGAATATTTTGGCCCCAACGTTTCATATTGGGGCAAAAAAACTATCTCTATAGATAGAAACTATTAAATAACACACGATTAACGCTTCAAAATAGGAATATTTTTTAATCTAAAATAAAATGATACAGGCTAAAATGCTCCCAAAAAAAAAGAGACAAAGTAATTATTCTATAAAATGTTAATGTATTTTTATTTTAAAATAAAACATTAGGATTTTACTCTCCTCTTTAAAGAAGACCTCAATCCCTAAGGATATATAATTTATCAATTTCAAAATCAAATCCTCTTTTACAACTTTGCAGGATAATTTTTTTTTTTTAAAAAAATCACAAGAAAAGGAGAAGATGAGATGTGCCATTTTGCAATTGTGGACACCCAACTATGACATAGGTGATCGTATACAAAAACAACTTGTTTAGCAAGTATGATAACAGTAACTAGTACACGGCTACTGTGCAAGCCAAGCGAGCATAAACAATTGATTGGTATGTTACAGAGGAAGGAATTTTACCAGTCCTCCCTAAAGAGGAGACATTGATATATAGTATAGTACTAAAATACGATCGTAGTTGTCGGTTTTACGGATGTTAGGACATGATTTATTTCATAAAAATAATTATGATTTTATACTATGAATGATGTTGCGATATCACAGTGACTTTGAAAAACGTTACGATACAATCATTATGTTGCGTTGTGGTTGTAATTTAATAATATGGTATATATGCATGTTCAAGAATACTAAGGGGATATTTGTTTACTTCATAATAATTAAGCGCTAAATAATTCAAATGCTAAATTATTCAGAGGCTCTGTATGAATTAGCTCTGAATGTGACATGTTGTTTGATAATGACTTTGAATCATTCATAATATACTTATGTGTTAAATCATTCAACACTGTTTTGTTGAATCAGTCAACACTGAATCATTTAGAGGTGCGAAATAAACGCGTTGAATACTAAACGGTTCAACATTCAACGCTGAATGATTCCATTAACAGACAAACAAACAGTCCCTAAAATCTTTAAAGAGGAAAGTCAAACATCAATTAAAATTATTATCTCATGTGGTATCAAACAGTTCCAAGTCATCCGGCTTAACACACTACATCAATATTCTATTATCCTGATAATTGTTGTTATGAATAAGTGACAGATTTATTATAAATCGATAAAATTAATAATTAAATTATTATTTTTAAAACGTGAATAAAAAAGATAAATTTATTCAAATATAAGTAACTATCGATGTAATTTACCCTTAAAATAATCTTCTAAGGTTACAAAATCCTACGGTTCATGCCAGGTAAGAAATAAGATAGATGTATGAACCTGCTGCAACTACAACCATCGTCAATGGATAAACTAAAAACTGATATATAAAATAAAGAGAGAAAGGAAAAAGAAACTATAAACCCACAAAAATGATGACCCTTTCGACTCCACTCTCTCACAACGCTTTATCCTCTCTACGATTGTCAACGAAACGCCATGGTTGTCGTCTTCAACGACTCCACTTGCCTCTCAGAATCAGTTCTTCTTCTTCTGGTAACAAATTCTTTTACTTTTCCCCCTTGTTTTTGAATTTTAGAACATGGGTTCGAGCTTGGAAGTAAATCCCGTTATGTGGGTAATGTCAATTGTTGGCGATGTTTTCAGTTTAAGTCAAGTTTTGGACTTTGGGGTTTTATCTTGTTTGAGTTCTTGTTTCGTTTAAGTGAGTATTTCTCTTTAGTTTTCTGATACTGATATGTAATCCCCCCCCCCGGTTTTCTGCCATGGAAGCAGCTAGCAAAAGTGTTCCCAGAACCGAGGAACGCTCGTCTGGGTTTAAGGAAATGAGGACTGTAGCTTGTGGCCTTCTTGCTGTATGCGCCGTTGCCACAGCCTCGCCTGTAATTGCTGCTAATCAGGTTGAAAATCTTCACCATTTCTCTGCATCTGTTTAGGTTCAAAGCTTCTGGGTTATGAATTGCAATGGACACACTAATTCAATAGGATAGTCTTCTCCGGTTCTTTTAATATGAATGAAACACGATATATTGAAATGTAAGACGTTAATATGAAGTTACACATAAGTGGCAGATCTAGAAATGTAAATACGAGGATCAAAACAGTTAGGGGCACTTGTTAATCATTTGCTGTTTGTGTCTTAGCCTGAAAGAAGAAATTATGAAAATTTTATATGAAAAACTTGGCTTGCTTGGTGAAGGATGCCTGTGGGATAGGGGAACAAATGTTCCAATATCATCTGATGTTTCAAAACTACAATGTCAAAAGGCTGCTGACAATGTGATTTATTATGCAGAGGCTTCCTCCGTTGTCAACTGAGCCAAACCGATGCGAGCGTGCGTTTGTCGGTAATACGATAGGTCAGGCAAACGGTGTGTATGATAAGCCGCTCGATCTACGCTTCTGCGACTACACTAACGAGAAATCGAACCTGAAGGGGAAGTCTCTTTCGGCTGCGCTCATGGCGGATGCTAAGTTTGATGGTGCAGACATGTCTGAAGCTGTGATGTCAAAGGCTTACGCTGTTGGAGCTAGCTTCAAAGGTAAATCTTCTCTATCTTCTTTATGTTATAATTCATTATTTGTCATCATCTGATTCACTGACACTACATAGAATTATATATGGTTAGAGATTTTCTTGAAGTATTTGCATTTGAAATATGTATGCATCACTTACTAGGACACGGATACGAATACGGACATTCGAGTATGATAACCCAACTATATGTAAAAATTTGATATATTCGTATTGGAAATGTAATCTTGTTTTATATTTACTCGAGTTCGAATAACATAGATAAAATTAGGATGCTTTAAGCTTTGCATCATGAACCTAAATGTGCAGGCACGGACTTCTCGAATGCGGTTTTGGATCGAGTTAATTTCGGGAAGGCGAATCTGCAAGGAGCGATATTCAAGAACACGGTGTTATCTGGATCGACTTTCGACAATGCTCAGCTCGAAGATGCAGTTTTCGAAGATACCATTATCGGTTACATTGATCTTCAGAAGCTTTGTACAAACAAAACCATCAGTGCTGAAGGAAGAGCTGAGTTGGGTTGTCGATGATTTCTATTTATGTATTATATTCCTGTCTTATCTAATTTCAGTTTTCGCTTCGTTTTTTTTAAAGAAAAGTTGTCATTTTGAGATTAAATTCGTATTGAGAAACTGTTATTTCTGGTTTTGATGTGGCTTTTGTCTGCAAAATAAAATCAACCGCGCTCTTGAATGGAGTTGGATGTAAATATATAAATGTGATACGTTTGGTTAATTATTGTAATTTATAAGATTATTTTTTTAAAATTAAAAGCATTTATTTTATTAAGAAAAAATAATAATTTTACTTAAACAAAACACATAATTAGGATATTATCCTATGACTACTAATACAAGAAATTATTATTACATGTGAGTAATAATATGATAGTGGATTAAGATAAAATTTCACTCAATCAATCAAATATGTTGTAAAAAAAATAGAATTTCAAGTCATTCAAATTCATTTATGTTGTGGTTATAATTTAGTATAAGTTAAATCTAGTTATTGGTAATAGAAAAATTAACCCTAGCCTAGCGGTTAGTTGCATGCCTACAATTTAAGGGGTCTGGTGATCGATTCCCATCATTATGAAGGCTGTCAAGGAGGAGACGAACATCGATTCCCAACATAAACGATTTTACATGGCAGCATGAGCCAAGAATGAGCCGTTCTTATGAGGGACATAAGCAACTCGAGGCATTAAGAAGTATCCAAGGTGAACTAGTCCAAGCAAATTCTAGTGAAGCTACGAGGATGTTGTTAGATTAAGTGGAGGAAATGTCACGGCTCACGAATTTGAGTCTGCAGGACTTGTGCTTTGAAATTCACCCAATAGATTTTAGGAGGCGTTTTGGGGTTGTATAAGCCACCAGACTTGATCCGTTCCTTGGAGAATACTAAAAAGTCCTTAAAGGATAAGACATGTTCTCTTAATTTAAGAAAAATCCTTAAACTAAAGAGACAATGTAGATATAGTTTGATTTGAATTTGAATACCTTAGATAAATAAGATAACAAAGAGATCTTAATAAGATAAGATTCAATGTAAGTTATCGATGTAATTAGATCTAAGTCGTTAAATGTAAGAGGATTCAACTGTAAATAGGGAGGCTCTCCCATCTCATTTGTATTCATTCCATTATTTTTTAGTAAAAACTCTAGCATTTACTCTTAGTTTCTTAGTCTCTTTACTTTATCGCTTCTCTTGGAGGCTTTCATAACCTTGTTGGTGTTGGCTTTTGCATATTGTTAAACCCAGGAAGAATTTCTCACCACTTGGTTAGTTAAAATTCTCAAAGGATATGGTCAAGGCATAGGTGCCTATTCAACCGAGAAAACGTCTTAGGCGTCAAAGATGTGTCACCATCTTATTGATTGAAAAAATGTTAAAAATTCTATTATGATAGAGAAATTGATGTGAAAATTAATAAAATTATTTAAAAATACCTTGTTAGCATCAACGTTAAATTTTTAACTGCAGAGGACCAAAATGAAGCCTAAACTAAATGATATGTATTATTTTGAAAAAACAAAGTTAAGTGACTAAATCGAAACAAAAGTAATAGTTGAAGCACTAAATGTGCAGTTTACCCTTAAATTTAAATAAAAACTCGAACGACTCGACTTAACAAAATTCAAATAAAATTTGAGTTACAAAATAGAACTCATCAATTTAACTAACTCGAATTTTGATTAGTTGACTCAACTCAATCAAATACTCTCCCCTAAATGTAATTAAAGTTTGGATACCAATTTGAGAGCAAAAGTATCTTTAGGTGCCAATTGGGAAGAATATACCTAGTCCAAGAATCAAATATACGTTTAAGGCTATAAATTATAATTAGGGACAAAATTAAAATCAAATGTTGGGAGGAGTAAATTATCTGAGTTCAAAATAATAAGGACTCATTAAGTACTTATCTCCAATCGAAGAGAGTAAAAATTTAATTGGATTTAAATTTAAATTGATAAAAACATAGAACATCATGAAACTAACAACTAATATAATTCAATTTGTTATCAAAATTTATTTGATTCTAATTATATTAACTTGAATAATTCCTTTTACTTTTCAAAAGTAATAGTAAAATGTTTATGAAACCAGCTCCTTCCAATTTAAGCTGAAACAAGGAACTCAACAATTAACCTTTCAACAACACCTTCTCCAGGTAAGAAGAAAAGATTATTCCCTGCCATCATCAACTAAAAAGTAAGATCTGGTCCCAAATTTAATTATTTGTTTTAAGTTGATTAATTCAGATTAGATTAATATACGTAAATATGGATAGTTAAATTTAGGGTAAAGTATAGTGATGGTCATTGAACTTTTCTAAAGCTTTCATTTAGGTCCTAACTTTTAAAACTTATAATACAGTCCTCCAACATTTAGTTCGTTTGTAATATGGTCCCCGCCGTTACACTGTCGTTAGTATGTTTGCAATTTGGTCACTGAACTTTTCAAGCGCTTGCATTTAGGTCCCCAACTTTTAAAACTTTCAACACAGTCCTCAGTTTCATTCTAAACCCCAAATTCCTTCTCGATCTCAAATTTCCTTTTTCTCTCATATCTTCTCATTTCCAGCGTAACTTTTCAGTGGGAGATGCATGGGAAATTCTAATCTAACTTTGAATTTATGTGGAGGTGTTGACTTAAATAAGGGTCCATTGAGAGAAGACCCGACCAAGGGACTATCGGGACTATCAACGATTCAAGGTGTAATGTTAGATACAAGTCATCTCAGGTGAAACATAGATGTTCGATGAAATGCTTGTGAGAAAATATGGGTTAGAAATGCAGAGTTGATAAATAATACTAAGATGAACTAAGTATGAAAGTAACCAACAAAGTTGGAATTATTTTGTATAAATGGCATATAATAATTTCTTCGCTTGATCCTTGTGGTTAAAGATTTTCTAACAGATGATCAAATACAATGAAATCCCAAACAGCGCATTCACCTATCAGTCTCTTTCGCTCACATGCACTCTCGTTTGGTTTTTATTCTTTAATTTTCCGCAATGTAAAATTGTAAACCCAAACAGTACTCTGTCTTTCATCTTTTTATTTAAAAAGAAAAAAATGGAGGAAGAATTGCTGGAACACAACACCAATTGCGTTTATTTCTTAGCTTCTCCCCTTACTTGCAAGAAGATATTTATTTTCTCTTTTGGGCTACCGGAAGTAAGCTTTTCCTCTTTCGCACTTTCCCATTTTCAGCTCGCATTATGTGATTTTTTGTTGAAATTTTTATGTTTCTGGAACTGCATGTCAATGATTTGGATATTCAGTGATAGTTTTGAACCAAAACCATATAATTTTTTTCCTTTCTTCTTAATAAAACTTTTAGTACTCCTTATAAAAGATATTCAGTCCATCAGAATAAAAGTGAAATAGGGTTCTAGGCTAATTTTTTTTATCTTCTTGTTTGGTTTTTCTTTAAATCAGGGAATTGGTTGTGAGTATCGACATAGTGAAATCGTCAGGCTCAATCCGAAAGACTGCTGGTACTAGTTTACTGGGAATTGTATTGATCCGACCTATTATTTTCTGCGTCCTGTGAGCTCGTATTCTTTTTAATAAGTTCATGTTGATTATGAGACTGATATATCGTGAACAAATTCGATTTTTTTACATGTTTTGGAAATTTTACAGTTGAATTGTATTGAATTATAGCTTTAGAAGACAGTTCTGCATGCATGCAACTCGAAAGGCATCATGACAGGGTAGTATATTTGGAGCAGCTACTTGACCCTGTCATGATGCCTTTCGAGTTGCAAAAGAGACTGAGAGGTGAATGCGCTGTTTGAGATTTCATTATATTTGATCATCTGTTGGAAAATTTTTAACCACAAGGATTAAACGAAGAAATTATCATATGTCATTTATACAAAATAATTCCAGCTTTGTTGGTGACTTTCAACAGTGATACATAGTTCATTTTAGTAGTATTTATCAACTCTGCATTTCTAGCCCCATTTTTTCTCGCAGGCATTTCATTGAACATCTATGCTTCACCTAAGATGACATGTATCTAACATTACACCTTGAATCATTGATGGTCCTGATAGTCCCTTGGTCGAGTCTTCTCTCAATGAACTCTTATTCAAGTCAACACCTACACATAATTCAAAGTTAGATTAGAATTTCTCATGCATCCTCGACTGAAAGTTACGCTGGAAATGAGAAGAGAGGAGTGAAAAAGGAAATTCAAGATTGAAAAGGAATTTAGGGTTTAGAATGAAATTGAGGACTGTGTTGCAAGTTTTAAAAGTTGGGGGACCTAAATGCAAGTGCCTGAAAATGTACTAACAACAATGTAATGGAGGGGGTCATATTGCAAACGGACTAAATGTTGGAGGACTATATTGAAAGTTTTAAAAGTTGGGGACCTAAATGAAAGCTTTAGAAAAGTTTAGTGACCATTACTATATTTTACCCATAAATTTATTATATAAATTAAAAATTATACAAAATTATTAAGAAAATATCAGTGTCTTGGTTAATTATCCTTAATTAATGACTTAAAAGATTGAAGGGTAAAGTATACAAATGGTCCCTTGACTATATGGCAATGCTTTGTTAAGTCCTTCAATTATTAAAAATTACATAATGGTCCTTGACTATAGGGTGTTGCTTTGTTGAGTCTTTCAACTATTAAAAGTTACAAAATAGTCACCCGACTATTCATATATTCCAAACTCATCATTTTTGTTAAAAATTTGACAGTCATTTGATATGGAAGTTAGTTTGCTAACTGGATATGATAAAATTTCATTCCAGAATCATTTGAATTGTATAGCTGTTTAAGATTCTAGGATCAGATGTTATCATATCTCGATTAACAGGTATAGTTGTTTAATATTCTAGGATCATATGTTATCATATCTCGATTAACATGTCAACATTCAACTCAGGCGATCATCAATTTTTTAACAGAAAATGACAAATTTGATACATATGAATAGTCGAATGACCATTTTGTAACTTTTAATAGTTAAGGGACTCAACAAAGTAAAACCTTATAGTCGGAAGATTATTTTGTAACTTTTAATAGTCGAGAGACTAAATAAAGTAGTGACTTATAGTTGGGGGACCATTTGTCTCCTTTACCCAAGATTGAATCTATACCTTGCTTAAACATATGTGGTATGAATAAATTCCAGGCACGTAAATTAGAATCAAAGGATCATATGATACAAGATTAGATCCTAAAGCAAGCAAAACTAATTAAAGTTAAATCGCAAAACTAATTAAAGTTAAATCGCAAAACCTCAAAGAAAAACATCTAAAACTTCATCTTCTTCACCCATCATTACCCCTAAATGCACCATTATCACTTCCTCCTGTAACACGCCAAAGCTACCAATGGCCGAACCCTTCATCCCATTGTCTTCTTCAATGTTATTCCTCACTGTGATTTCTCTTTTCCTTGCATCAGCACTATTTCCAGGTATCACAAACTATGGATTTGATCCATTTTCAAAACTTTGGTATCGGTAATTCAAAACTATGCAAGTTTTTTTTATTTTATTGTAGGAGTTGAAGGGAACATTGGGGTCAACTATGGCACCGTCGCGAATAACCTTCCACCGACGTCGCAAGTGGCGCATTTCCTTTTGGAGTCCACTGTTATCAACCGCGTTAAGCTCTACGATGCCAACCCCGACATCTTAAAAGCCTTTGCTCACACCGGCATTGCCGTGACGGTAACGGTTCCGAATGATCTGATCCCTCGACTCACGAAGCTGAGTTTCGCGCAACAATGGGTGGAAGATAATGTTCGACCTTACACGCCGACGACTAGTATAGTTCGTATTTTAGTCGGCAATGAAGTGATAACGACGGCGGACAAATCGTTGATCGGAAATCTAGTTCCGGCTATGCAAACCCTCCACACTGCCCTCGTGGCGGCTTCTTTAGACCGGAGAATCCAAGTATCGACGCCGCATTCTTTAGGCGTTCTCTCGAACTCGAGCCCACCATCGACCGGAAAATTCCTACTGGGCTACGATGTTCATGTTATGAAGCCATTGCTTAGCTTCCTTAGAGCTACGAATTCACCGTTTATGATTAACCCGTATCCGTTTTTTGGCTGTTCATCTGATACGCTTGATTATGCGTTGTTTAGGCCAAATGCTGGAGTGTTGGACGGAAATACAGGGTTGCTTTATACGAGCATGTTGGATGCTCAATTAGATGCGGTGTTTTCCGCCATGAAAGTCCTGGGTTTCGATGATCTCGAGATCGTTATAGCCGAAACGGGTTGGCCATCGATGGGCGATTCTACCCAAGTCGGCGTCGATGCAAACGTTGCGGCCGAATACAATGGCAATCTCATGCGACACGTATCGTCCGGTGCCGGCACACCGTTGATGCCGAACCGAACTTTCGAGACCTACATTTTTGCGCTTTTCAATGAAGATCTTAAGCCGGGTCCGACATCTGAGAGAAACTTCGGTCTCTTCCGACAAGACATGACACCCGTTTATGATATCGGGATCCTAAGGCCCACGGTATGTTCTTAAACTTAATTATAGGGCGTTTAAATCGTTAATTTGGTTACCGACGAATTAAATTATTTAAAGTTAAATTAATTAATTTTTTAATTGTTAATCAATTTTATTTTTTAAAAAAATTATAAATTAGATCGAATAAAGTTTAATTAATTCTGTCGATTTAATTAAAAGTTTCTATAATTTTTTTATTAGATTAGTTTTAATTTAATAGATGTATATTTCTCGTTTGAGTTAAAATTTGATTGGACTTAAAAAAATTTCGGTAACCAAAGAAACCTAATAAACAAACTATCCTAACCTACCTAATATAATCACTAATGCATCCTTCAATGTCCCGTTGTTCCCTTAATTCAACAGGCGGTGTAGTGAACCTGTGTAGGTATCCAATTATTGTTAGGTTCATCTTGACCATTTTATCCGTTGTTTGATTTCCTTCCCAAAGCACGTGGGTGGTCTTGACCTCCCAATCCTTTTGCAGCATCGTTGAAACACGATGGCCTACCGTGAATTCTAGTTGCGATTGTTCTCTCCTTTGCATGTTCTCTCATACTTCTTTATTGTCTACCTCAACTATTATCTTCCTTGCACCTAGTTCCCAGGCTTCTTTTAATCCTTCCTATACTCCCCACATCTCAGCCTCTAATATCCAGTAGAACCTATCAATTTGTAGAATCCTGATCTCCATCGGCCCCTATCGTCCCTTATCGCACCTCCACTATAGGATAGATCTGTCGAGTTGATTGGATTTAAAATTTTAATAGGTCTTGTGTAATTAAAAAGTGATTTGATCTTAATTCTTAACGACTTTAATCTTAATATATATATATATATATATCAATATTTAATATTTTCAGTTAATTTAATTAATTAACTGATTTCAAGTTTGAAATTTTTAAAAAATTTAACAGTTAACTAATATAATATATAATTAACCGATTATTAAAATTTGATTTAATCGAGTAATTTGATTAAAATTAACCAATGAACCCCTGATTATACTTAGCCAGATAATTTGATTGATTCTTATGGTGGGCTTTGACAGGCTAGATCATCCATTCCGAACAACCAGACCCCAATTCCGTCGAAGACTCCGCCGTTAAATCCAAAACCGAGATCGTCTAAAGGAAAACGATGGTGTCTTCCTAAAACAGGCGCCGACGAAAGCACTTTGCAAAGGAACGTCGATTATGTTTGTGGCTTGGGTTTGGACTGCGAACCGATTCAACAAGGCGGTGACTGCTTCCTCCCCAACACAGTTCGAGCCCACGCCGCTTTCGCCATGAATGCTTACTATCAATCCACCGGAAAGAACGAGTCCGACTGTGATTTCGACCAAACCGGAGCCATCACCGACGTCGATCCAAGTAATAAATCAAATTAAGATACTGTTGACAACTAAATAATCGTTGTTAATTTTTAGATCCGCCATTGTTCCTATCATCTTTGTTTGATCCCTATTCGTTGTTGTTGTTGTTGTTGCAGGTTATGGAAAGTGCCAATACTGATGGCTTTTGTGCCGCAAACCAAGACATGAAACTATGAATGAATGATTCACTTTGAGATTCTGTTTTCACTTTTAGTTTTCTATAGCTCAGAAGACGAAACAAGAAAACAGGGAGGGCTGCTCGGGTATGTTACGCAGGCTTAAGTGCATGCATGGTCATGTAGTAAATTATCCGAAATGTTAATTGTACGACCAGAACAAATTAAATACTATATCTTCGAAATAAAAATAAATATTTAAATTTTTGTCTCTCTACTTATATTGGTACAATTTTTTTTCTTCTCGAGAACGTAATGTTACGTCCATGTACTTCAATCTAGAATTTATGTTTTGTACATTCTGTGTCCTTCCAATTAGATGTGTATAAAAAAATTTGATTTGATCGATTTATTTCGTTTATCTGATTTAAAAGTTTAAATATTTGAATCGTTTTTTATTTATGAACAATTCAAATTATATACTCATGGAAAATATATAATCAAATTGGATATAAGATCAATTAACATTAAAAACTCAAATTCTTAGCATTCATGGTATATGAACCCATAATATTAAAAAATAACAATAATTCATTTATCATCAAGATCGTTTGGTTTGTGTTAATATGCATGAATAATTGAATATATATAGAATATAGTAGATGTATAAAGGAAGTTGAATAAACCCACAAAATATACAGTTCAAATCTAAATTTTCTATCAAATTAAAGGTATGTTTATTGTACCGAAAACAATTTTTGAAAAATGAATTATATTTTTTAAAAATTATTCCCAGAAAATATTTTTGGCTATTTGAACAATAAAGGGATTTAGCAAAATAACTAGATGACCACGCATGTTTTTGATTGTTTGAAACCAAGCTAAATATTTCGCCGTTCTCTTTCTTCTTTTCTGATCTATAAGAAAATCATAGACCAAATGTAGAACTGTGATGAGAAAAGATCAAAAGATTATAAAACATCTACAAAAAGGACGAAGTAAACCTCGACTTACGGGGAGTAGGCTCGACAAAAGATCAGTTTGGAACAAAAGCAGGGAAGCGTAAATATGAAATTACAAAAGGGATACCAAATATTTTGGTTACCTAAGAAGATGAACATTGACTTCAGTTAGCATTGTCGGTGAGAAAGAGGTGATTGCAATAGATTCATATATGAAATTACAAAAGCGTAAATACTCGATCTAAATTAATTAATTAATAAATTGAATATCGACGGTTATAAAAAAAACTCTAAGTATTATATTTGGATTCATATATTTGATCCGAAAAATCAATCAATGGATTTTTTAGACTAGATTTAGATTGCAATTTCTAAATTTTTGAATATCTAAAATTTTGGTTTGAATAATTTTCAATATTAAAAAATATTTAAAGTGTAATAGATAATTTATGCTTGCGTGGACAACTTACACCAAAATTTGAATAAATTAAAATTGTTTAATTATTTATTCGATTAAATATTTAACGTGTTAAATTTATATTAAATAAAACATAAATAAATTTAAAGATGATTTGCACGAACCCCAATGATTTTGATGGTAAATTAATTGTTGTTATTCCTTGTGGTTTTAGATTTGAGCACTATGAGCGTTTAATGTCAAAATATTGAGGTTGCGTTTGTTTCACGGAATGTAATATTATCAGTGTGAATAAAAGATTACCAGAGAATGTTGTATTTTGTGTTTGGTTGGTTTTGCAGGAATGTAAGATTATCGTGTTTGGTTAAAGGAATAAAATATTATTAGAATGTATATTTTACCAAATTGTCCTTATTATATATTTGTTTTTTTTAAGTTGGAAAATATTTATATATTTTCTTTAAAAAATTTAAATTCATAAAATTTATATAGTTTTTTTACAAAATTGAAAATATAAAAAGGTTGAATTAAAGGGTAAAATTTTATTTTAACCCCTAAACTTCATATAAAATTTTAATTATATATTTTTTTTTGTAAATCTAAAATAGTTTAAAGATAAATTTTTAATTTAACATTCATAGAATTTTTATTATTCAATGAAAGAATAAGGATATTTTTGAAGAAAAAAAATATAAGGGCATTTTAGTCTAAAACGCCGATAATCTAAGAATACATAAAGAAAGAGAAGTAATGATATTCCCGGTAATATATCCCAAAAAAATCCACTATTAGTAATGTAAAATTACCAGGAATAACATTCTCGACCAACCAAACGGGAGAATATGGATTTCATTCCCATGAGAATCTCACATTCCTCCAACCAAACATACTCTGAGAGTTATTTTTAAACAGATACTACCATGTACTTACCCCATATTTATAAAAAAAATGATTTTACTAAAACATTAATAATATGAAAAATATTTTTAAAAATAATAATTTTCTCTTCCACTTTATGCAATCGAGATTAGTGAGAATATTTATTATTTTCCAACTGCATTAAATTGACATAAATTAAATTGACCCCTTAAAGTTCTGTATATCACGTGACCAACACGTGACATGGAAAAAGAAAAACAGAAACTATTAAGATAAAGATAAATCTGAGTCCACAACTGCAAATGAGCCACCTGTCCACAACAACAAATAGTCATAGTCCGCGAAACACGGGATCCCACTCCAGTTGTGCGCATTACGCCCTCACTTGGTTCGTCCTTGTCAATTATATTGAAGTCTACACCATTGTTTTGTTCGTCCGCCGGCGCCAATATTTCCTAAAAGAAAAATATAAAATCGAAGAAGAAAGGGGAATTTTTTAAATCTTTTTTCTTCAATTTTCGAAAAGATTTACAGAGGTTTAGTTTTACTAATATGCGAAACTGAATCAATCATTTCCTCTGTTTTTTTATTATTATTTTAGGGTTGGGTTTTGATTTTATTTCGGGGTTTTTGTTGATTGATTCAATGGCTGACTGGCAACAGCTTTTGCAATCGATTTTCCTAGGTCTCATCTTCTCTTATCTTCTTGCTAAGCTAATCTCCTTACTCGTTTCTTTCAAAGAAGATAACCTTTCGATTACCCGAAACCGAAGCAGCAATGTCCAAGGCTACGTGAAGATCGATTACTCTGGACCCGGGTCCGACCCGATTCTCAGTAATCCGTGCGAGGGACTGCACAAGTCGGATTCGGTGGTCGCCGAATTGGGGAGTCTTAGGAACGACAGCGATGGCCTTGATGAGGATGATGACGATTGGGAAGGGGTTGAGTGTACGGAGCTGGATGATGCGTTTAGTGCTGCGACGGCGTTTGTAGCTGCTGCGGCAGCGGATCGGTTGTCGCAGAAGGTTCCAAATGAGTTTCAGTTGCAGCTTTATGGTTTGTACAAGATTGCTACCGAAGGACCTTGCACTGCTCCTCAGCCTTCCGCTTTGAAAATGACCGCTCGTGCTAAGTGGTAAAGCTGTGTTTCTTGGCATTTTCTGCTCTCTTTTTTTCCTATTGAGTTTCTTCGTGAATTTTTTGGTTTGTGTGGGTTTTTATTATTTTCGCAGATGTGAATGCCTAGATGAGCTTGCTGAGTATAATTTGCTTTAATTCACTAGCTAAACTTTGTTTTCATGATTCAAAACTGAACTTGTTATGAGCAGAAATCTCGGTAAAACTGATGACCATTTAATTAATTTCTTATTCAATTATCAAATGTTTGAGTGTCTCCTAGATGCAAGGCACTTACATTTAGTATAAGAATTGTTTCTACTACATAACACAAGACCTGAATGATTGAAAGTTGCTTGAGAAAATTTATAGTCCTATTTGTTGATTGTGGTTATTTGTTTATTCTTAGGCAAGCATGGTATAAATTGGGTGCTATGCCTCCGGAGGACGCAATGCAGAAATACATTGATATCGTGACTGAGCTTTATCCAACTTGGGCTGATGGTTCGGCTATGGTGCGATTTTAATTTTACTGTGGTTCTATCTACTATTTTCCTTTTTTATGGTACTGTTTATTTGTATCTATATTCTTTTCAGTTTTCGCTGTTTTACTAATTTACTGGTTTCTCAACCTTTTTTTTTTTCGCAGAAGACCAAAGGTGGGGCTGATGGTACTGCAAGTAAAGATGCCAAAGGACCAATGGGACCAGTTTTCAGCTCTTTCATATATGAAGAGGAATCTGGAAATGAGTTGTAAGGTTCTTGAAACTTCATCATATTGATATTTCTAACTGCTATTCCTTAACTCTACTTATGCCTTGTAGAGGTTTACAAGGTAAGAAATAAGTCCCTCCAAATACATGGAAAAACTTGGAAATATTATTAGAGTCTGTGTAACAGAGTAAACTTGACCTTGTTATAGGGCGTCCCATATTTGCTCGAGAAAAATCTAGGTCTTTGAAATTGCTATTTTATATGATGGCCTAATTGGTTTTAAACATGCAAGTTTAGTATCTAAATTTGAATAGGAAAAATTTCATTTCTTGGGATATAAGTCAACCATGTGCGATTCTACATGTGATAGTAAAAAAAATTTCTTCTTGTTATACTATTTTTCTGTTCTTCTTATCACCTGCCTATCTAGTCCAATATAATTATGGAGTCATCAAGCAATTAAATCCTCCAATATCAAAGGAACTCCTGGCCAGTCCGTGCATCATGGATTTGGAGAGGTGTGGTTAAAAATTTCTTCTCCGATGATGGTTTTGGGGATTGTCTTAGGAAGAATATGCGGCTGAAGACTGGGAAGGGGAATTCTGTTCAGTTCTGGAATGATGTGTGGTTGGGAGAAGTACCGCTGAAAATTCAGTTTCCCAGACTCTATGTTCTTTCGAGTAATAAATCGGGTAAAGTAATGGAGTTTAGGGTGAACAATGGGGCTGGCTGGGTGTGGGACATTCAAATGAGGCGAAATTTGTCGGATTGGGAGGTTGATCAGTGGTTGCAGTTGATGGCTATGTTGAATAATATTTCTTTATCTCCATGTGAAGAAGACTGTTGGATTTGGTCAGGGAATGGAGAGGGCTGTTTTTCAGCTAAATCTTGTATCAACATTTTCTATGATCAAGATGGTAGTGAGCAAAAGAGAGTGACCTGGGAGAGGCATATTTGGGTTGGGATTGCTCCTCCACGGGTGGAGACATTTGTTTGGCAAGCTACTCATCAGAGAATAGCGGTTAAGGAGGAACTACTGAAGAGAGGTGTGGTTGGGATAGATGATCCTCTATGCTCTTTGTGTGGTAGGGAAATGGAATCAGTTACGCATCTCTTTTTGCATTGTGAGGTAGTTTGGGGTCTGTGGTCTAAATTTTTGAATATTTGGGATTTGTCCTTTGTGTTCCAAATAACATCATGGATTTTTTGAATTTGTGGGATGATTTACTCCCGAACTCAGTGATCTGGAAGTTTATTCCAAGGGAGTTGATGTGGTCAGTATGGAAATGGAGGAACGAGATCATTTTTCAGAAAGTAAAGATGGATAGGGTGAGATTGTTTTTTATTGTTCGTTTTAGAATAGCTTCCTGGTTTTGTTGCAAAGTTTAAGGAGGTGCATGTCCCTTTAGACTCACTTGTGGGTGATTTAAAACTTGCTGATTTAGTGCGAAGACAGGGAAATGGTAATCCACATTCAATCTGCTGGGTCCCTCCTCCGGATGGGTTCTTAAAGCTAAATGTTGATGGAGCGATGACAAAGGGCTGGGATAAGGGAGGTATTGGCGGTCTGATTCGGGACAGCAAGGGCATGTTGATTAAATGGTTTTCAGAAAGAGTTGGGGGTGGTCCTCCTATCTTGGTAGAATTATTAGCAATTAAGAGGGGGTTATGTCTCTTGGAAGATTTCAGTTTTGTTCTGAATAAGAGGATTATTCTTGAATCAGATTCAAGCAATGCTCTGAAGTGGATAAAGAATCTGGGGTTATGCACTCCTATTTTCATTTATTGGTGAAGGATATAGTCTCTCTTATGGCAGGGAAGGATATCATTATTAGGCATATCTTGAGGGCTGCAAATTGGGAAGCTGATAAATTAGCTAATGATGGGATAGGGTGATGTTTTGGTTACTGTTTGTTTGTGTTGATGTGTAGGAATTTGTTCTGTGTTTAGCTGTGGTTTTTTAGTTTTATGAAATCCATGAGGATGGTAGCAGATTGTGAGGGTTTGCTTATGATGTACTAAAGTTTTCATCTATAAATTTCTAGGTACTCTTTTCCTCCTTATTTGTCCTTCATGTTACTTGTATAACATGGAGGGTGCAAAAGGGGGTTTTTAATGAGGCCTATTTTCTATAAAAAAAAAAGGCCCTTTAACTTGGACTATGAATATGGAATGTGTCTGTTCCACGATTTGTGATTTATATTCTCAATTCTTGTTTTTCGCTATTTATTCTAAATTCTATTCAGAAGCATTGACATTGCCTTTTCGTATTCGACGTCTTAGGAGTTGTAAGTTTCTATGTGCTGATTGTTGAAATGCTTGCACTTTCTTTTTAACTATGGAATGGTTCCTGTTAGCATGAGGTAATGCTAAGTAATTCATTAACGAGTTAAAGACTTTCCTCATGCCATGTAAACTAAATATTATTTATGGCATAGTCTATTGTTTTCTAGTATTTAATAGATTTGATGGGAATGCTACTTACTGTTTTCAGGAAAATGGATGCAATTCATACTTTTGCCAGAGAAGGAGAACTGGATAATTTGCTTAAATGCATTGAAAGTGGAGTTTCCGTGCATTTACAAGGTTTGTTTCTATTTAGTTGTTTTTTGTCCCTTTAAAAATTATACTCTCATAGGGGTTTGAATGACTTGCTTTACCATGTAACTACCTTGCATATGTTGCTTGCAGACAGTGAAGGCAGGACACCGTTGCATTGGGCTGTAGATCGTGGCCATCTTAAAATCACGGAAGCACTTGTTAGCAGGAACGCAGATGTGAATGCTAAGGTAATTATTGTATTGCTCTCACTGTTTTACTTGTTTTTACCTCCTAATATGTGCTGAAACTATTCATATCTTATGCATAAAAAGAAGGAAAGAAATAATCGGGTTTGCAATGTTTTTGAACTTTTTCAAAAGCGTACCGGAGTTATGAGAAAAAGTTGTTTTCAGGCAGTTTATGCATCAGCTTGAACCTATTGAATGGTTTGCTATTTTATTCGTATATTTTTCGTTTTCTTCTTCTGGTGTTCTAATCAGTGCCGTTAAATTCTCTGTTTTTCTAATGGAAGGACAATGAAGGCCAAACCCCATTGCACTATGCTGTTATGTGTGAGAGGAAAGATATTGCCGAATTTCTTGTAAAACAAAATGCAGACAAAGATATGAAGGATAACGATGGCAACTCTCCAGTTGACCTATGTGAATCGGATTGGCCTTGGTTGTAATGTGCGGGAAAAGCTGGTTGATCAGTGTTTTAAACCGAGTTCGCCTTTCCTCAAGTACTTCAAAAATTTCTCATGGATGTACATGGCTACAAGCTATCCTTTTGCTCTTATAACATAGTTATATGCTAATGTGGAGCACTATGATGTTCATTGCCCTCACCTCCTTAATTACTGTTCTCTCTACCTCCATTATATCAAAGAGAGAGTTGGAAGCTAAGGAAAGTTTAGCCGGTAAAATGGAATTGAAATACGTTCTTTTGTTGTTGCATTATGAGTTGAATGAATGCACTGGATAAAGCCTTCAGGCCTAGCCGGGCATATCCGGAGAAATTGGATGTTACCCTTCAAAGGGTTGAATGGTGATAACATTTATCGGTATGTATGTCGTGCATTGTATGCTGGATGTAGGTACTGACCTAAGTACTTTGCTCTTATGGCAGATGAGATAAAACTGAGACTCGATTGCTCTAAATCTGTTCTATCAAATGGAGATCGAGACTCGATCTCCATGGCACGGATCGGATGCTGGTATCCTTATCTCTCTTTCTCGACCCTCGTATTCTCTCTTCAGCCTACTAAATGCCCTATTGTGCTTTCCAAGCATTGCTTTGGTTAATTTAATGAAATGTTCCATGACTCTCTGATCAAAACTCTTTCCTAATGAAACTCTGAGGCACGTATTAAACTTAATTATTAATTGAGTTGTACACTTTATTTTTAATAGAAATAAAAATTATTAATTATGTTAAAAATTTAATTTAATGATTATATACAAAAATATTAAAAAATAATAATTTCAAAATATAAAAATCTAAACTTTATCTTCTATTAAAAAATCAATTTAATGATTATATATATATATATATATATGTATGTATGTATGTATGTATGTATGAAATATAGTAAAACTATGATAAGATATGAACTTGGATTGGGTGCTTGGAGACCCCCCTTAAATTTGTAGGTTTGAATTCTCCCCTCAAACATGTTACTTTTTTTCCCGTCATTAGTTATAATAGGTTAGAAAAATATTGTAACTCATTAACAAGTGAGATGATCAATCCAGTGGCTTAGACGTGCCTAGTGGATGCTAAGTTTTGAGTTCAAACATTTTAGTTGAATATTATTTCTTCATTATATTCTGTACCCAATCAAGTTGTAACATGTTAAAAATTTAATAATGTATAATTATATCGATTTTGTTAATTGACACATCAACACTTCCGATAAATGTTAATGTTGATGACATATTGTTCGATTGAAATATGTAAATAGTTAAGTGGTCAAACAAGTAATTTACTCAAATTTAGCCATTACATTATTTTATAATAAATTAATTTCTTAAAATCTATTTTTGTATAACTATTTTTTTATTTCCTTAAAAATATACCGGGTTGTACGTTAACAGTTTGATCGTCATTTTGAAATAAAGGTTAATTTTTTTAAAATTATTTCTATATTCCCAAAAGAAAATTTTAAATTACAAATACATCAAATTATTCAACAGAAAAACTGATGTAATTTCACACTAGAAATGGATTCTGCTTCACCAAGAAGTTTCAACCGTAATCAGAATCCAACTTCACGTCAACATCATTTCTTAGAAAACAATCTCAGCCGTTGAATTGGCTTACCTTTTGCCAATAAACGTCGGCCAACTATATAACTTGGGCCACTTAAACAACATGTAGAATTGGTACAAGCCAATAGCAACCGAATATATTACCCGGATATGGATTTAAGTTACGGTTATGATTATAATTTTAGTTGTGTTTATCGTAATTATAAACATATATTATTATAGTCATTGTAGGTATATAATTCATATAATAATAATTTTAGACGATATTGATACTATTATATAACAACAAATATTTTGATATTGAACAACTATTTAAATTCATGTACACACATACTTTTGAATGCACAATTGATTGATGGAAGAAAGCTTAATACAATTTCAAGAGCAAAATCTTCCTCGTGTCACTTTCTAGTTGAGACTTGAGAAAGTTTTGAATTAGGAATAGATTGAGAGGGTGTTTGAATGCGATTATATTCCTTAAAAAAAATTAAATTCTCATTATTTAGCTTATATTTTTTAGTGATGATTTACTTTTATTCCTTTAAAAATTTATAATTTTACACTTCATAAACTTTTAATATAATTTTTTAAATTCGCATTCTTAACATAAAATTATATCTCATCCATTTCAGGTGAGAATTCTCATAAAATTTTGTGAGGTACAATTAGCTTAATCACGTTAATTTCATTTATGCTCGATAGTCAAGTTGATTTCATTTACTATATATATATATATATATATATATATATATATATATATATATATATATATATATTACTCAAAATTAAGGTGATAGATTTAATTAAGTGGACCCAAAATGCTTTTGATGTTACTTTAAAATTTATTATTTTATTTTGTACTTTTTTTATGAAGTTATAAGATTAGTATAAATTTTACTTTTTTTATATTTTTTTACAAAACTTGTCAGATATAATTAAATATTACGTAAGATTAATAAGTTGATTTAAATAGTAAAATAAATAAAGGTTTTTTTAACTAAAATAAACTTTGTTGGAAAATAATACAATAAAATATAATAGTATCAGTAAACTATGTGAAAACTACAAATTTCATCACTTAACTTTAACTACACTCTTATATTGGCCATTGAGCTTTAACCTTTTTTTTAGTTTGAACATTGAATTTTAATATTGCTCCATTTTTAGTCTTTTAATAATTAATAACAATATGTCCATACATTTTTTTTAGAGAAAATAACCTCAGTGACCAAAAATCAGATATAATATACGATTTTAACCAACTTTTTCCGGATTTACCAAAATGACCAACAAAATCGTAATGCGATCGCTAATTCGCAACGCGATCTCCATTATCGCAAATCAGTTTCCAGATTCGCAACGCGATTATTACTATCGCAATGCGATTTTCCAATTTCGCGTTGCGATTTTCCCAATTCGCAATGCGAATAAGTAAATCGCAATGCGAATTTGGAAAATCGCAATGCGATACTGACTATCGCAATGCGATAATACAAAATCGCAACGCGATACTGACTTTCGCAACGTGATTCTGACTTTCGTAACGCGATTCTGACTTTCGCAACGAGATTCTGACTATCGCAACGAGATAATACAGAATCGCAATGCGATTTTCAAAGTTCGCAACAGGTTTTAGTTTCGCAACATCCTTCTGAGTGAGACATACCAGATGACTTACAAACAGTTTTGCCACCAGCCATGGACAGAAGGCTACTTGGCCGACCAAAAAGTCACGATCGTATACCGTCTAAGGGTGAAGAGAAGAAGAGATTGACATGTAGTCGGTGCAAGGAAAGTGATCATACAAGGTTGACATGTGGTTCACCAGTGCCATCACAATCATCTTTTCCTCTACCAAAATATGGATCCTCATCAAAATCCAAAGATCATATGGTGTCAAGCAAAAGGCAATCAAAATCGCAATCATCTTCAAAATCCCAATCACAACCGGCTTCACTTTTTGGGACTGTTAACTTAGGTGATTTTTAAATGCAAACGTTGTATTATGTGTATTTTATGTGTGCACTTTTAAAATTTTCAGTTAGGCATGTATTAGTAACTTAGGTTTGAACATTGTTATGATATGTTCAGTTGTTATCACTTATTAGACATTCATTTGACTATCGCAACGGGAAAATCGCAACGCGAAAATGGCTATCGCAACGCGAAAATGGCTATCGCAACGCGAAAATGGCTATCGCAACGAGAAAATCGCAAAGCGAAATGAAAATCGCATTGCGATTTTCTCGTTGCGATTTTCATTTCGCATTGCGATTTTCTCGTTGCGATAGCCATTTTCGCGTTGCGATAGTTTGTTTTTCCTTCAACATAATGCAGATTGGAAATCAACAAATCAACTATTACATTTCAATCAATTAAACAAGAACAAATAAGAATTATGTACACATCAATTAAACAAATCAACATTTACAAATCATTTTTTACAAATCAATTAAATAATCAAAAATAATAATAATTCTTATTTCCTCATCAATTATTGAATCAATGAATCAACTTTTTCACCCGTACATCCATTTCACGCAGCTCACTTAAGGAATAACCTGCAAAAACCAAACATTTGCTCAAACAAGACTTCCTACACATCTAAAACCTACATACAACAAATTATTGAATTCTAGGTACTTAACCAAACATTTTCAAACCAAAAGGAGTATATATGTTAACAAAACTTGCATTTGACTTACCAATTAACAATGGATACTTTCATAACGCGGATGCAGGTAGGCAGCGTCTCGAATATATCGCTCTAGCCATATAATGCCGAAACCACAAGCCTACTGCAGCACTATCTCTATCGGTGGGAGGTAGAAACTCTGTGCTTCCCGTCGTCAAACGCGCCAAGCACATGCATACGAGAGGACCACAATCCCCTCTGGCTCCCGGTAATTGTTGTGGCGCGGTCTCGTCTCTGACAACTGTGACATTGAACTTCTTTGGCTTCTTGTGTCCAGAATGAGTCCAATAATTAATCCCATCCAAGAATTTAGCCAAATGAGAGCTCCATCCCTTGATAATATCTCTCAAATCAGACAGTGATATGTAATTTATCATGCTGTCATATACTATTATCTTCAGGGATGGGAGCTGAAGTTGGACGAGAAGCCAATGACGACGTTCCAAAATAGGGATAAACACCTGCAATCATAAGTAATAATTCATTTATTTGCGCACTTATTTATGAACACCTTTAAAAAATTTAAAAAATAAACACTAACCTTATCGACCTCCCACCATACAGGATAAAGTTTAGCTTGTCCATTGCCCAACGAAAATGATTCATATCGTTGATTCTTCAAGTGAACTGCGTGAAAAGCAGCCGGCATTATTGTATATCGCGAATTTTTTTTATTTTTCCTAAGCTTCCTTATTATTAGAAGACGTGACACCCACGAATCGATATGTTGTTTTACAAAAAAAGACATATATTAGTGAATTATATTAATTTTTTAAAAAAAATTAATCAAAATCATATATAAGACAAATATAAGACTTACCTCCCC